AATAGATAAATCACCTTTATGTTTGAGAGGATGTGGGATACAATGGCACATACTGTATATGGTGGGAGTGCCCCAAAATTCAAGAGTATTGGGAAGAAAAAATTTATTTATTTCAGCAGATAACGGGGGTTGAGGTTCCGAAAGATCCAGGCATATGCTTATTCAATAAAACTGAGACTACCATTGAAAAATATAAGAACTCGACATTTAATTTGATAAATGCGTCAAAGGGGTTAATACCTAAATTTTGGCAAGAGCAGGAATTACAAAAAAAAAAAAAAAAAGATTGGATAGGTAGGGCTGACTAAGTATATAGGATGGAGGAACTCTACCATCAGGAAGGAGATAGAATGGTGAGATTCAGAGAAAGGTGGGAGAAATGGGATAAGTTCAAAGTGGAATTTAAAGAAAAATAGGGAGGAAAAGCAGACAAGGGCGCACTCTCAGTGCATTACCGTGGTACACCACGTATTTATTGTGTAGAAAAATGGATATATACTCACAAACCAATGGAAATTAAAAATCAAATGATGAATGAGTGGTCCGCAATAACAGTCAATGCAATAATGTGTCCTTAATCAGGATAGGCTGATGCGTTTCGGGGGAAAAGCCCCCTTCCTCAGAGCTAAACGATATGCCTGCTGGTTCCAAGCTTATATACCAAAGAGTGTTTGGTATATAAGCATCACCTCTTCGTTTGGCATTCACAAATTTCTTTTGGTCTGCATGAGGATTTGAGCGCTGGTTTCGTTTGTTTGTCGAAAGATAGGGAGGAGATTAAGGAAGAAAGAGAAAGGTACTTTGGAAGTGAAGATTGTAAACAAGTGGAGCAGGAAGGAGATATCAGGGAAAAAAGAGGGGGGCAAGGGGGTGGGAGTAGGTGGGCAGGGTTTTTTTTTTAGTCTTTTCCTTTTAAAGAAGTAAAGGGTATATGTGTACTGTTCAAACATTTTGGAATTTTTTAAGATGTAATGTGAATTATTGAAAATTAATAAAAAACTATTAATTAAAAAAAAAAACAGTTGGTACAAAAAACTAAAGAGGGGAGAAGCCTGCTTTCAGCAGTTTGCAGGAGGAAAATGAAAAAGGATCGGTTCCTGTATATGCCGCCCCTCCTGTCCAAGCATAAAAAGGTGAATGTGACAGGGAGTCCGCACAGGGCCCTCTGGAGCATGGGGCGGGATCACCATTGCAACCCTGGACACCACACCATTGGTTTAGGTGTATGATAAAAACATCCAACTATGGCATTTTACCGCACTCCAAACCACAAAGAAAAATGTAAATGTGCCCTACTGTCCTGAGCCTCCTATAAGTCTGCTTTTACACTGATGTGCTGTGTCTTTCCTGCTGGTTAGCTGAAAAATATGCCATACACTTCTTTTATATCTGGGGTGTGATGCAGTTTTTGAAAGCATACCAAAAAAAAAAAGATTGCATTTGGTTTCAGAAAGCATGCAACCTAACCACAGGATATAATAGTAGAAGTGTGCTTCCCTGGTGTGAGGTTGAGGGCTACATCAGAGGGTTTGGGGAGGCCACAGGTTGAGCACCCCTGAAATCCTCAACCCATGATTCTGTCGCAGCAGAACCAAGCTGGTTTGGGCTGTCTACAGTCAATGAAAAGCAGCCCTTGTAGCTTTTGTGCCAATACAATATCTAGCTGAATCTTAGAAATGTTTGGACTTTCAGGGAGATGCTGTTTACTAAAGCCTTTGTCAACAGTAATCTTCACAGTAGGTTGTATGAGTATCCCACAATGTGGATGCCATGAGAAAACACTGGCGCCAGCACCCTGTAGGGAAGTCAAGGTGCAGGGGCAAGGCCGGGGAATTGAAGTCCGTGGAGATGATGTACAACCTGTACTCACCCTGGCTGACAAGAGTAAAGGGGTCCCCTCTGGGAAGGGACAAGTACAGTAGATCTGACTGATCCCATGTAAATCTTGAGGAGTTACATGACCTGAAGGCGGCAAACATCTACACTTTGAGGAAGAACCCAGAAAACAGTGGGATATTGCTCCAAAGGAAAAGTTGGTATGGGAGCTAGGACAAAGATTTTTGATCCTAAATACCCCAAGGGGATTGAGGTAGGTGTGCTAATATGTGCAGTACTACAGGAAAGTAAGGTAAGGACTCAAAGGAGAGTGTTGTTTGTGAGGACTTGTAACTGAGAAGGCACTCAATATCTGAAAGCCTGAAGAAGTAACCACCCAAGAGTCTGCAAGGACCAACCAATGTCCCCTCGCTTAGAAAAGGTGGGGCACACCTTCATGCTAATGAGGCTTCCATGAGGGCTTAGCAGACATCCTGCTCCTGGCCTTGTGGATGGCCAGAGAACCAGATTTTAAGACCTAGGTGTGCCTACTCCAAGACTAGGTTAAGAAAAGAAAGGTGACTTAACTGATCTTTTCCTAAATTTTATGCGCTGGGGCAGGATGCCAAGGCCTCCAGGGATACACCTAATGATAATGTCTTAGGCAGATAGTCATCTGAAGAGGAGGTGTCACTAGAAGACCAATCAGGCCAGTCACACATTGGGCTCTGCACATTTAAATGGACAAATAGGCCCATACAAGAGACAAGCTGTGTAGCTTCATGCCAACAAAACTGAAGTGTAAAACTCCAGACATCCACTCCACATGTTTAACCAGGAAAGGGTCTACTGCTGTAGTGGAGTGATCCCTTTCGAAGGATTTAGACCATTTTGTCACAGTTCTGCGGATTAGGGTCACAGACAGAATAGAGCAAAGGGTAGGGGCCCACAAGAGAAAATTGAGCCTAAAGAGGAAGTCTAACTGTTGGTCTGTAGAATCCTTGACTATGAGGATTTCCTCTATTGACATAGTTTCCCTGTTTAGGTGGGAAAAATCCAGTCAACATTCAGGGGGTATCCAAGACCCAACAAGAGTGCTTTCTAATCCCCATCCTTCAAATAAAACGTAATGCAAAGCTTTTTGCAGCTGTAGGAGTTCTAAAAAACCTGAGACTGGAGATAAGACTGATCCTCTAAAAAGGTAGAGGCAATAACACAAACTATTTTCAAATCAACATATTGTTAAAAATTGTCATGTTTAATTGGGGAAATATGCACTGATGTGCTAATAAAATGTCAAAACTTCTTTTTAAAAAATTGTTTGGTTTACTTATATTCCAAGATTGCCTTAAAAATCCCACCAAATGTAAGGTATAAACTGTTCCACTAAAAAGGTAGATCAATACCACATTGATAAGAGCAGAACGGTTTATTTTTTCAGGGTATGAAAGGGCCACTGCAACTGCCGAGCCAGCAGTCTCTAGGGCTGCATATAAATCAACAATAGACTGTAGGTAAAACTCTGCTTAGCATGTTTAGGGTAGGAACCAGTGAGGAACTGGGTGAAAGTGGTCACATCAAGTCTTATAGTGAGGCATGCACGGTAAGGAACTCTGATGATTAAGTGATAGACCCTTGTACCCATAGGGCAAAAGGATTCCAGAGGTCAGTGCCCTCGGAGGGCACAGAACAAAAAACTCCAGAACTGTTAGGAGAATGTTAGCTGGGGGAATAGTAGATCCCACGTAAGAGCTCGATATTAAAATTATGCTTTCCATACACAAAGGTGAACCTTAAATTAAGATAACCACTGATATTTTGTAAAGCCTGGAAATTGGCAGCAAACTACAGATTGCAATAGGTTTCCATCTAAGGTTGTTTACTTTGGCTCCATCTAGTGACAATTTTAAAAATGAAAATAGCATTAATAAAAAAATCTTTATTTATAAAATATTGACAAAGTAACTTCATACAATTTTACAATAAAATACTTTACAATAGCAACACAATATTTCACACATAGGACACATGCAATATACAAAAAAGAAAGAAAATTGAAGTTGTTACATAAAACACTAATTTGGGGAGAGAACATTTGTACAGGTAAGCAGACCCTTAGGGCTATATACGGTGAACAACAGATATGGTAGTGAAAAATGGCAGAAGTCTGCCTAGGCTTTTTCCAAAAACTACAACACATGTGCCACTACTCGAGGTAGAGCTTAAAAAAATAAATAAATAAAAATACATGTGCACACAACAGGACAGTCAAAAGTAAACGAAATTATATTTCTCACTGCAGAAATTCATCCTTTAAATGCTCGTCCCCAATAGTGTACTGAGGATGCCCAGGTACTGAAAATGGTAGTTTACCTTTCTAAAAGAAAAAAAAAAAAATTCTATATAAAAAGGAATTGCTCAAAAAAAAAAAAAAAAAATACCCATGTAATAAATCTAAAGTGGAAGGTTCCTGGGCTCTACACTATGAGCAGCAATATTAGTTGTATTGAAGTGGAAAATGTTCCTGTGCTTTATGTCCAAGTCTCTTTAAAAGGGCAATAAAACAACATTTTAAATTACAACTGCACTGTGATCCCTGCACAAAACTTGTTCTATTGGCCAATGTAGCAAATGCTCTATATAATTTATAACCAACTACAGCGCTCCAGGATCAGGACATTTCCCATTAAGCATGACAAAACATTAAATGCCCAATTCTCTTCCAGTTAAATAAAAGGGGATTTTTTTTTAGTTTTAATTGCAAGATATTGCAATGCTTAAAATGTTTAAATGTTTTCCAGCATGAGGTGAAAACTCATTCTCCTAAGCAATTTAAAACAACACTTGTAGTTCAGTTCTGGCACCTTAATTTCTTTTGGATTCAGATTGCAAATACCAGATTCTTTAAAGGCAAAAAAAACAAAAAAAAACAAAAACAAAAAAAGCCTAAAATTAAATAGTTCTTTGACACTCCTAAAACACACACAAAACATACAAACACACAAGCATACCATTAAAAAAAAATGCAAATATTTACAAATATACACAGAAACACATAACTAATGTACAATACTTTGCAGAAAATTAAACATTCAGGTAACATTGAGTTGCAAAGTCTAAAAATTTTATCTGTGAATCCATAGGTTCAATCAGGTTACGAAGGTGGTGGAAGTAAAGTGCCAAGACTAGTTTTCTAAGAGAGGGAAAATACTGCGGCTCTTGCTGTTGGTAGAAGTGGAGCTGTTCGATTTGAAACGTTTAGGAGAAGAAGAAACAGCACTAATATTCTTTCTTACCTGCATAGAAAGACAGGGTATTAACAGCAATGTCTAAACATAACAAACAAGAGATTGTAGAAAATCTGTTGGCATGAAAAAAGTGGAGATAATACTGTAAATATCTCTTAAATGTGAACCGTTTACTTGTTATTTACCTATGTAGAGATCTGGCACATGCACTCTGAAGAAACATGCCCACGCCGTTCCTACAGAGCTGCGCGCCGTAAAAAGTCACTCGTGGGCACATGCGTGGAAGTGACATCATCACAGCTTAGCCATTGAAGCCGCCCGAGCCCGCGAAACCGGCAAAGGGCCCGAGTGAAGATTTAAGGTGTCACATAATGTGCTAGTATGCGATGCAGACTAGAACATATTACCTTGCAAGGGAAAACTTTTTTTTTTCTGGAGAGTTTACTATCGTTTTAATCCTTTGACATAATAACCTGGAACATACAAACAAATATGGAACAGCATAATGTCAAAACGTCTAATGGGAATATCTGTCCAAGCCACTAGATTACCATAAAAGCCAAGAAACTAATATTTTCAGAAGAAAGCCCAGCAAATAGAGCCTTAATATTTCCATACTATAGATGACTGTAATGCCTATAAAATGTGCTGGCCTCGGGCCCTTTGTTTCTTTGGGGATTATTTACAATAAAGCACCGTTGCCCATATGCTAGAAGCGCAGGGAATGACATTGATGTCATTTTCTAGGCTAAAGGAAACTTTGGCACTATGGTTTTGATGAGGTCTTTTCCTTCCCGTAGCTTTGGTAATGTATTAATTCAATGCTGTGACGCTGTCAAAAAGATGTGCTTATTACATGCAGTTATACTCACATTACTATTAGTGTGTGTTATTATGCAGATTGTGAGGTCCATAAGATATATCCTCCTTTATGTTGTGTAATAATAAAAGTGGAGCTTTTGACAGTGCAAGAATACTGCAGATGGATTCGGTTATTTCTTGGGGTGTTGAGTGAATGCTGTGCCAGGGCAGCCTTACACTTGGTAGTGTGTCTCTCACAAGCTTAGAATAATGGTGTGAGTGTTGGTTAACTGTACCTGTGTGGTGTATGTGACTTACTTTTGAAGTCTGAAAGTCAAGGAAGGGTCAAGATAATTTCTGTATAAGTAACATTTGAGTCTGGGCATTGTGCCAAAGGTATGGTTACTTTTGATTTTGTTTTTGCAAGTTGAAGCAAAGAGGAAAAGGTGTAAAGGTGTGTATATATTGTATAGAAGTGTGTAGTATTGATAAATTGAAGTTTTATTATGGTTTTTTTTAAGCTCTCAGATAAGATGTTTAAGAAAAAGGCTTGCAAGTGTGCTGTGTGCCAACTCATAACATACCAGGATGGTATAATACACCATACTGGAATTCGGCTAAAGAATGGGCACATACTACAGGGTTTAGTGACATACCTGAGATCCCAATAGACATCAAAGAGCCTATGCACCTGCAGGCTATGAAGGCTGTCCCATCATCTAGGGTGGCAGGAGATAAAGGGTAGCTTTTGCTCACGGCTTATCGGCAACAGCATGCCAATTGCCGTCAGCTAGAGGAGCAAGTGACAAAGTATCAAAATGCTGACGAGAAGGCTGCCCTATTTGCAGCACGATCTCGGAGACCTCAAAGGTCCGCTAAGATGGATCCCAAGAAAATTACAGCTTTCTTGGCGGATGTACCCAAAGCCCGGTAACCTTCATTAACATGGCCTGAAAGCATTACTGATGACATATCTGACCAGTCCAAGGACTGGACTGCACGCCCTGTTCGGCTCCATAAAGCTGTTTGAGTATTTTATCCCCATTAGATGTAATTCCTGGTGACTGTAATCCTCAGTCACATTCTTATAACACATGATTGAAACTTTTAAACAGAGACCAGGGGAGCCCCTGGATGCCTGGGCTGTCCGTTTATATAAGGAAGGGGCAGCTGGTGTCCTGTTAGACAGACATGAATCCAATAAATTTACTTCAATTACTACAGAACCAGTAGTGCAGCGGGCAATTAGAGAGGGTCCTGAACAGGCAGATCAGGTAGAAGGCCTTTTAAGCATAGTACAGAGGGGTCTTCAGCACCACTTGCCTACACAAATTGACTGGCCTGTTAATGATTAGCCCTGGCACGGCTTATCTGATGCCGTTAGGCAAATGAAATATGAGAATTCTAGACTAGCCAGATTTAATATGTCCATTAACCCCTCAAGTACAGAAGTTGGTGATTAAATATGCCCCTGCTCCTTAAAAACATGTTGTGCTGACCTTGCTAATAAACATGACAGGTCAGCCATTAAGGGCGGTTGCGGAATGCTTGCTGCAGTTAGGAGAGTTGGGGGAATGGTCTGAAAGAGGGGAATTGCGTGCCCCATAGCACCCTCAATTTTCCAGACCACAGACTAAGCAGCCCCCCCGAGGCGTAGTTAAGGGAATTCCATGCCACGCTGTGGTGAGCTGTTCTCTGCACTGATAAGAGAACATATAGATGGCATGGACACAGAAAAACTTTATGCTCTGTATAAAAAGAGGGGATTGCATAAAAAGAAGGTGAATAATAAGACAGAAACCAGACCTTGTGTTCCCATCAGCCCCCACCTATGGATTTGTCCCTACCTAAACCACCACCTTATGGGGACACGGGGGCTGCTGATCTCCTTTATCCAACCTTGTCCCCAGCCCCACCATCTTCTCCTATTCTGGATTTGTCAGTCCCTCAACCCCCAGCGAGCAGTTTACTCCCTCAACCCCCCAGCACCCATTGCAGTTTTAACTCCCCGACAGTTGGAAGAGGTAGAGCATAAACTTGAGCCCTTGGGGAAAACGCTGGATGCTGCCTTGGATGCTCTGGCCTGCTCAGGCTCTGACGATAACTGAGGACTTCATGCGACACCATGACAAAATAATAGAGGAGACCATTACAGAGAATGCCATTGATTTTAATTTACTTGACAAGATGTTGGAAGAAGTTGTGGCTAATAGGCAGATAGACACTCTTCCCAAATAGAATGATGGCCAAGCCCCATATGTCCTAAGTATTCAGCAAGTAAATTCAGTAGATCCTCCAATTCATTTTATTTTTAATGCTGAAACCCGCCCCCATGTGGAATTAACTATCCGCTGGTGGAAGGGTAATATTCAGACAGTTAGGGCACTTGTGGATACGGGAGATGAGGCCACATTAATTTACGGAGACCCTAGAAGGCACAAGGGAATCCCAGCAGTAGTCACAGGACTAGGAGAGAAAGAGGAAAAAGCAGTGAGCACTAAGGTAGAATTAGAGATAGGAAAAAACCCCTTGTGAAAAGTAGAGTTGATTGTGCCAATCAATGAATACATTATTGGGATGGACATCCTGAGAGGTATGACCTTGCATTTGACAGATGGCACTTATGCATTTGGGGTTCACAAAGCTGAAGTTAGATTAGGGGAGGCCAAGGACATATTGGTAGGCACACTGCAGATACCATCAGTAGTATTGCCCCTCGCAACACAAAGGTGTATACAAAACAGTGTCGTATACCAGGGGGACATCAGGAGATTACTCAAACAATTGAGGGCCTCCTCAATGCAGGAGTTATAAATACAACCACTTCTGCTTGGAATTCAGCCACCTGGCCATTGCAAAAACCAGACAGTACTTATCGCATTACCGCGGACTACCGAGCACTCAGCAAGATGACCCTACCATTGACAGCAGTGGTCCCTGATGTGGTCACAATCATATAAAATATACAAAAGACATTCTGGTGTTTGGTATGGGGGCCTTAGATCTGGCCCAGGCCTTTTTCACCATTCCTATAGCTGAAGAGAGCCAGGAACAACTCAGTTTTACCTGAATGGCAGACAGTTTACCTTTACCAGGTTACCCTGGCTATGTACATTCTCCCACCATCTGCCACCGGCTGGCGGCAGAACATCTGGCGGAGCTAACCCTCCCTTCAGATCAACAGATACAACATTACATAAATGACATTCTAATTCAAGGCTCGGATGAGCAGGGGGTAGCAGACACTCTAGCCATGTGAAACAAAAAGGGAGGGAGATTAACTCAGATAAGATACAAAGTCACTCACAAACAGTGAAGTTTCTGGGTAACCAATGGCACTGTGGAAACAGAGAAATACCCCCCAAAGCAAGACACAAAATACTAGATTTCAAAGAGCTGCAAAATAAAACTGAAGCACAAAAAGGTACATTGGGCTCTTTGGATATTGGAGACAACACAGCCCTCATTTGGGCCAGGTTTTAGCGCCCCTATAACAGGTTACCCATAAAAAGAAGGAATTTGATTGGTGTAGGGAACAACAGTTGGCTTTTGAAACATCCAAATAGTCCAGCAAGCCCTGGACTTATGACCCTTACGTCCCCGGGAAAGTAGAATTGCAAGGGTCAGTGCAGGACAAATGGGCTAACTGGAACAGGAAACAGGACAGGAAGCAGGTCCCTTTGGGATTTTGGACCCGTAAATTGCCAGAGGCAGGAGAAAGATACAGTATACTGCATTTGAGAAACAGCTGCTAGCTTGCTATTGGGCACTGATAGACACAGAACAGCCGACATGTGATTTTGCAAACATAAATCCCAATTATGCAGTGGGTAATGAGTTCCCCAAAGTCTCACAAGATTGGCCATGCCCAAGAGGCCAGTGTCATTAAATGGAAATGGTACATACAATATAGGGCTAAAGTAGGGCCTGCAGGTGTCTACTCTTCATGAACAGGTATTGCGTGAGGCCCTAGCAACCCCTTTAGATAATCCACATCACCAAGCGGAATCACCTGTGAAATGGAATAAGTAAACTCACACCTGAAGAGCAGCAACATGCTAGGTTCACTGATGGCTCTGCTAAATATCAAGGCACAGAACACCACTGGAAAGCTGTGGCCTACGGACCTGTTGAACAATTCTTGCAGGAAGAAGGAAAAGGTAAGAGCAGCCAATATGCAGAATTGTATGCAGTGTATTTAGCCCTTGCCAAAGAAATGCCTGGTCAATGTCACCTGTATACAGACT